TAGTTTGGATCATGTAACGTGTAACATTCTCCGTACGGATAGAATTATGGTAATAATTTGATGGAGATTTGTGTTTAAATTTATTAAATGTATCATAATTTTATTATTTGTGTAGTTAACCTATTTTGTCTAAGTTCATCGATCCTCATGTGAAGCAACGGGCTTGTTGCTGGTTCTAATATTTAAATAATTAAATTTTTAAAATTTTTCCAATTATATTACAAAATTTGGTATGAATTCTTTCTTCTGAATCAGTTCATTTAAAAATTTATGATCAACTTGTGTGACTTTTAAAAATATTCTCAAATATTTTATTAAAAAGTTATTCGTCGGTTAATATAAATCGAGATGATGAAGATATATCTTGACTTCAAATTACATAATTTCGATATTATTTCTCAATAGCAGTAAGCCTGAATTACCCAAATTATACAAGGAGATTTACGTGTTATTTTTAGATCCCTTATTACCTTTTTATGAACTAGTAACAACAAACGTTACTAAAATTGATAAATAGAATCTTTTTTGAATGAAAGCTACTCCTTTTTCTTCTTTCTTTCCTTTTGATAGCCCTTTTGCCAACATGACATGCTCAAATTATTTTCAGGAGATTTACCTGAATTAACAAATGAAATTATACTATATTTTAAAAATAATTTTTCAACGTTGTATTCATGTATTTAGTTAATAAATTTTGGCGTCGTTTGGTGATTCTATTATTATGGGAAGATCCCTACACAAAATTATCGTTGTATTGAAATTTATTTACACTTTTTATATGAAGATAGTAAAACAAAATTTAGTGAATATGGAATTAATAATAATTTAGTAACTACAAATACATTATTCAATTACCCAAGTTTATTTAATGTTTAAATATACAAAATATTTGTTATTCAATTAAAAAGTGGGCTAAAATTTCAGTGATGAAATATAATCGTAAGAAGCTAGAAAATTTAGTTTATAAATCATTGTTCGAAGTGTTCATCGAAAATGAAGGAAATTTACGTTCTTTTTAAGTTGTAATTGACATTAATAGTGATTGTAGAGATTTTAATGAAAATATGGAATTAATTTTACAAAATCTAAATTTTATTTATAATATCAAAAAAATAAAACTCAATTTTCCTCATTCATTTCCAAATGTCATGAATACTATACCATTTTACAATTTTTATATTCTAATTGTAAATCAATTTCATCAATTGTTTTAAATTTATCTTTATTGTATAAATTCAAGAATTTTTCATTGTTTGAAAAATGTATATCACAAATAATTATTTCACAACACAATCTCAAAATAATTACATTTGAAGATATTTTATATCATCTATATTTTTCATTGTTAAAAAAATTCTAATTGTTTAAATACTTTTGAATACAATTATATTTTATTATATATTGATTTTAATGATATAATTAATATTTTACAAGAGGTTTTTGATCAATTGAATGTTTTAGAATCTGTTCATATCATTTATTGTGATTCTTTAGATTCTAAATTTGTTCAACAAATTATTAAGGTTGTAAACCTTTTAAATTGAAATCTTTGTTTATGGATGAAATATTACATGTTGAGTCATTACAATTACTATTACAAAAAATTGGTGATTATCTAGAATTGAATTCATATATTATCATTTTTATAATAAACAAATGCATCAATTCTTTATCTAATATTAGCTTATCAATTAACAAATTTTGTTCTTCTGTTAATCCCTCATAGTCAAAATCTTTTATTTGCTCAATTACATCATCACTGAGCTTAAATTCTTCCATATTAGATTACTGGTCAATTTATGCAGAAGATGATTAGTTTTTTTTTAAAAAAAAATTTACGCCTATATGTTGTACTGCAGTGATCGACAAAGTTTAAATCATTAAATCAGCTGATGATCACAAAATAAAATATTGTTACACGAAAAAGCAACTACAAAGTGATAATTGTATTTTATAATCTAGAAATTATTATCTTTTAATGCACTCTGTTATTGATAATGATATTCTTTTACGATTGAATTACTGTGATTCAACTTAGAAGTTATTTGATCATTAAATAAATGAAAGTATAATTTAATTATTTAATCTTTAGAGTAATTAAGAAATTTCAACTGTTGGTAAAAAAAATTGTAATGAAATCAGAAAATTAAAATTTTATTTTAACAACTTTTTATATAACATGAACTTTTATTGATAATTGATTTGTTTTTTCTTTTAGTGTTTCCAAAAAAAATATAATAATTAAAGTTTTTTTGAGTCTTTGGCTAATGACGTAAATGATTCTTAAATCTAGTAGTAACTCAATAAATTTTGTACTCAAAATATTGTGAATAAACAAAAATAAATTTATTTCTAGTAAAATAAAATTTTAAAATATCATAATTTACTTAAATAAATAAATAATATCGATATTATTAAAATTTACCGTATTCCAAAAGTAATAAAACATAAATTAAATAATTTCTTGCAGTTATGATGTAGCGGTGTGTTCAAACTATAGAATTCTAAGGAGGGATACAACAAAGAATACTAAAGGATTAAATAAATTGAAAGTTGAACGAAGTTGTAGTTGTGGCGCAGCTTATTGATTGCAATAAGCAACGTTCGTGTATTAAGATTTTCACGACTTCTCAATAATAGATGGCTATTGGATTTACTAAGATTAAACTTTTTTATATATGAGTAATTAACGTAAAATCTATTGAAATCTACATTTTTATAAAACGACAAACGTTTTAACTACTATTATATGAATAATTAATGAAATATAAAAATAAAATAATAAAGATATTTTAGAAATAAAAAATGGTTCTTTAAAAACTTACTTACGTATCATGGATATAAGAACCCTTTGTTCCATTAAAGAAGAATTTTGACCGGCATTATATATATATATATTCTATTAAAGAGAAGTTTTGATCGGTACTATATATATGTAAAGTTCATTTAGAATCTTATACGATTAATACGATTTGATTACAATTTCTTGGATCGCCACTGAAAGAACCCAAGAATAAGGGTGTCTCTTTTCACCGTTTAAAATTCTTTCAGGGTCAAATTTATTTGGATTTTTCCAAATTTAGGATCATTATGAACGTGTCAAATATTGACACTTATAAGATTTTGGAGAAATAATATATGGACCAACTTGAACGTAATCGTTTGGAATTGTTAAACGAATAGATGAAATATTTTTAAAATTAAACCCACAGGATATTTAGCGAGGTGATAGATAGCGACGCTGATATTTAAATAAATATGTATGAATATGTTATCCTTTTAAATTTAGGACATTAATAACTTACGCCAAATTTATAAGCGAAAGCTACTTAAATAGTTTACATTGTCATATCATAAGTATTTATACATTGGCCAACTTTCTTTGCATGCACCACGTTTAAGAAAAAAAAAAAGCTTTACTTTTATTTCAGTTGTTATTTATACTTGTGCTGCTATTCGAAAAAAGAATACCGTTACTGGCTTACCGTAAAAATTTTGCTCTATTTCCTAAGTTATGTTGCATTTTAGGAACAACATTCTCTACATTTGTAATGCAATGTTATTTTTTTTGCCATGATAAATAAAAAAGGAAGAAAAAAAAAATACTTACCTGATTTGTTATTATATATTCAACATCTTGAAAATAAAAGAAAGTTATGGTTCCAGTGTTCGCCATATAAAATTTCATTTCAAAAACGTGATAAAATTACCTCAAGAATTCCTTCATGAGAAACTCCCGATTTAATTCCTTGAATTTTATCTTGAGATTTTTTCCTAATTATAGACCACACAAATTTTAGTGAAAAATCGTTCCAAACTGTTAAAAAAAAATTATCATATTTTCCATAATCAAAAATTATTAACTACGAGTTTATAACAAAATTTAAAAACGTGGGAAAGTTTTTAAAATTCTCGCCATCGAATTATCCACTATTAATTATTTTTATTGTTCATAATTGGATTAGTATACGTTACTCGATCAAATTCATTGCTCAATCATTGGTAATGTGCTACAACATCCTGGAGATGCTGGATAAAACAACTTACAATGTGAACAATACCGAGTGGTGACTTTGGCGTGTTATTCTTATGATAAACGATCGCGTCATTATCGATTCCACAATTAAATATACTCATGCTAGATCATGATGATGGTGATGATGATAACAATGACGGTTATAACGATAATGATGACGGCGACAATGACGGCGATGATGATGATGATGATGTTGATTGTAATGATACTACATTAAGAGCGCACACACTTGCAGGTAAAATTATGAAGTAAAATTTACTTGATGAATCAGAATATTCATAATCCCTAGTTCGATGCTACACTAGTAATGGACGGGCGTCACAACCGTCACTATATCCTTGTTCTCGGTATTTCTCGTTGAAAAAAACCGCTCAATGTCAAATTTCTTCAAGTACTAATATAATTAAACACGGCTACTATACGAAAACAATAGATTTGACTAAGTATTTTCCAGATTTAAATACACGCGCAACTTGAGGTCACTGGTACAAATTTTCGATCTTGACACATTCCATTGAGATCAATGGATAAGTGACATTTAATGTTTTATTACACAGAATATTAAATAAGTGGCGGACAAATCTTCGTTATAGTACGATTAAAATATATTTCAGAAATTATAAGAATATATCAAGCTATCTTGGTTGGGTTTCGAACGCCACTGTGCCGTTATTAACATAAACCTTTTGCAATTTTTTTTTTTTTTTCACGATAAGGACTATATATACGATTTAGATAACAAAGGAAAACGGTTAATGTGGCAAAATGACGATACTTTATTTGGTTAAAAGGAATTAGTAAATAGTTTAAACAAGAGTACTTTTGAAGATTTTAATAAGCGTTTATGGTATTAAATTTCTTAAATTGAGCTAATATTTTTGATTAAAAAAATCCAAAGCCTTTTATTTATAAAATATTAAAAAGTATGAATATTTTTAAAACTAATATATTGTATACAGGAAATTTAAAAAAGAATATTATTTAAAAGCTAAAAGAAAGTGTTTTAAAAAATATATGTAAACGAAAATTATTCAATAGTAATTTTCTTTCCAGTAGGAGCACTCTTTGGAAGTTTCAATTCAAGAAGTCCATCCTCAAATTTAGCCGTGATATCTTCTGCTTTTACATTTGGTGGCAATGAAATACTACGAGTGAAAGAACCATAGGAACGTTCTTGAATAAGAGTTTTTCCTTTTTCATATTTTTGGTCTTTTTTGGTTTCCCCAGAAATTATAAGAGCGTTGTCACGAACATCAATGTTAATTTGATCTTTATTCAATCCCTACAAAATTATAATGTTAATATATCAGATATAAGAAATTAAAACGACGTAAGAAAGTTTGAAAAATAAAATAGTTAAATACATACTGGTAATTCTGCATTGACGAGAAATTCTTTATCATTTTCGTGAACGTCTATTAAAGGAGCAAAATAAGTATTATTTCCACGACCAGAACGAGTACCTCCACGTCTGGCTACGTTCAAGTCTTTAATAAAATCATCGAAGACATGATTAATATTTCTTTGGTAGAGAGACATTTTGTACTATTTAAATTTGAAAGTTGGTTTTAAAAAGATTTTTTTTTCTGGTGTTATTTTTTGTAATCTTTGATAAAATTGGTGTCTTGAAATCCTGGATTCAGGATATATTTATATTTCTAAAAATTTCCGCTAGCAATTTCTAGCATAAATTTCATGGAAACTTCACGAAAATTCTATCACATGGTAGAAACGATTGCGTAGATCTTTCCTTTTTTAGATTGTGGCAGCCAGAATTTATTGCATTTTTGGATACTGACCGGCATTATTGTAAATCCGGCCTAAATAAAATTTACCTCCATAAGGGGCGTCCTACGATTGGCCGGATTAGGAGTTATGCACTTGCACGTGATAGCGTTAACGTCCAGTTCGTACATTAATATCGTATATTCACTGTAAAGTAACCCGCCCCATAAGTCCATAATATCGACACTTTAATTTATTCGCCGGAATTTACAATAATTTCGGCTGAAAAGAAACCCTCGATGAAAATCATTACAGTAAATTTCACAGTTGATATAATTCGGAAAATGACACAACTTATGAAGTCAATGTGAACAATGCAATTTGGGCGAAAAGAAGTAATTTATTTTAATTATGCATATATTAATTTTTATTTACTTATTTATTTATGTTTTATTAATAACGATTCTTTTTATCTTTTTTACAGGATTCTGATCAATGTTGCTGCACCTCAACGTTGGTGATCAGGTGGAAACAAAACTTAGCTAAAACAGTAACGAATTTTTAAAAAAACGTTAAAAATTAGATTTGAAAAGATGAGAAAAGTTATTTATAATTAGGGTGAATTATTCACCCCGATTACGTTGAAAATTTATTTGTTTGTTTATGTACTGTAATTATACTGCATAATATGCACGTCACATTTACCTACATGACCGAATTAAAACACTCTTTTACTTATCAAAATCTTGTAGAAAAAGCAGTCTTTATTTAGTTTACTTTCTAAATATTCATTTTTTCTTTCCAATTAAAGTCAACAAAAAATAAGGAACCATACCAAAATTTACCAGTAATTTACCGTTATGTTAAAATTTTAAGTTAAATTTTTAGAGATACTTATTTAAATACATTTTTCTTTATTTTAAAAGAAAATATTCCAATGGAAAGTAATAATGAATATAATGTTCCAAATGGTGAAGGAAGTAGAATAATTCAAAATAATAGCACAAATTATAACGAAAGGGACAACAATTTGATAATTACTGGAAATGTATTAGGTAAAAGTTATTATTATTTATTGAATCCATAAATCTTTTATGGCAATTTCGTCTATACAAGTATTAATTTATTATTTGAATGATTTTTTTAATTGTTAGCAAATTTATGAATGAATTTAAAATTGAAGTTTCATTATTTTGTTACTTTGTAAATGATTAACAGACTATAAATTTTGACAGAATTTCATTCTTTATCGTTTATTTTAATGGTTTTATTAAAGTTTATTATTTTTTTCTAATGTTATTTATTATCTTTTATCATTTAATGTTATTAAAGCAAGTAACAGAATTCATTTAATGTAATGGACAATTACCATAATTCAGATAGAAATTAACTTAGAGATTGCCATCTCTTAAAATTGCAGAATGTTACGTTGAGCAGTATGCAAAATAACAGTACTTTGCAGTTTTGAAGTTTTAAAGCAAAACTTGAACTTTATGAAGATAAAATATTCTGCTGAAAGAAAGTTTTCAAGTGTCAAATTAAAGAAAGGAAATAGATTATGAATGGCAAATTAACTTGAGAAAGCAAAATTCCTCATTACATTGATTAAAGACATTCATAATCATAATGCTTTTAAAGAAACAATTAAATTTGCTTCTGTTTTCAAAGTATTTAGAATTTACTCTAGTGATAATGTAAGAAATTGCATTTTATATAGTGAATGACCATTGTGATGCTACTACAATTTGGAAACTTTTGCAACAAAAATATCCTGAATGAGTTTTTTTAACTCAGGATATAGATAATGCAGTTAAGCAGCAGTATAATGATATCTAAACTGGAGATGCTTCATCTTTATTAATTAAACTGCTTCAATTACAACATGAGTTTTATCTTGGTTTGTAAAGCTTTGGATTGATGATTCTTCTCATCAATTATATATATATATATATAGAGAATGTTCTTAACAATGTAAATGATGGCTTCATTTTAATGATATATATTATTATTATTCATGATAGCACTGCTGCTAAAACAAATAAGTATAATTATCCATTAAGTTTATTTATATTAATAAATAATTTAACAAAAATAAACTAGTTGCACAAGCATTTCTTGCAGATAAGCAGCAGGAATCATATATTCAACATGTTTGGAGGCTACGGGTGTACGATCAAAAACATTTGTTACAACGCTGATCCTGCTATTCTTGTGGCTTCATCAGTAGTTTTTGACAAATTTCATATGTAGTATCTTTATCACCTTTATCAAAATATTCCCAAAAACTTTCGTTCGTGTCTTTATACAAATTAACAAAATTTTATTATGGATTTCAAGTATATTCAAAAGTCATTAACAGAAGAGGTTTTTAATATTGATAAATATGACAAATATCTAAATGGAGAGAGGTATATTACAAATACAATATTTAATAGGATAGGAAACTCATCGTGTCAAATTAGAAAATTTTTTTATTCAGAAAGCAGTACAATCTTCATTTACTTTTGCTTCAAGTTGAGAAATTGTAGAACAACATCTTGAAACAGAAATATCAACAATCATATCAATACTCTATTTAAAAAGCTTCTACTTGCTTTAATTTATATACAACCCTTTATTGCAAGTAATTTTTTTCCAGAAGTTGATAAAATAATCAAAAAATATGTCACAAAACTGATTCACGAACAAATGTATGAATAGTCAGTACTTTATAAGGCATATTAGATATCTTTAAATGAAATCAATTATGATGAATTTGAACCAATAGTCATGAACCTCAAAAAACATCTAATACCAAAATTTTCTTAAAAATAGATGAATACCGTGAGATGTATTTACAATCAGTAAGTCTAACTTTTTTAAGAATACGTCGCATAGTTATAACAGAAATAGGCTGTTTTGTACGGGATGTCCATACGGTCGAAAGTTTTCTTGAACAAAACTGATCTTTTTTAGCAAAATCTTTGAGCTGAGGAATTAAAAAATGGTGGACGACCAGTTCTTTTTTTTTTTTTTTTGTGTTAAAGAATGAGTTTCATGAAAACGTTTTATTATATCATCCCTGTAAAAAATCTGATCCGTGTTTTATCTTTCCATGTTTTTCCGTGAATGTATCATTTTTCACGGAATTTTTATGGAAGACACGGAGAAATAATGGAAATATACGGATAAAAATCTTTTATAGGGCATTAACGGTAGTATTCCCACACCCCAAATTTTTAGCAATAGTGCGGACTCGATTGTCCACGTAAATAAATAAGATGCATTATTTACATCATAACAATATGTCATGATCTACTATCTGCATAACCGTAGATTTTTTGGGTAAGTGGCTTCATATTTTCAGAAAGTTCTAGAAAAAATGGGTTTTGGGAGTACAAAATTATGCATTGTTACGTCATAACAATATGTCATGGTCTGCATAATTTTATCAAACCGGATATATAATAAAATGATAAACCTCTTTAACATACTTATATAGTTCTCAAAGAGCGGTTGGTTTCGGAAAAATGTATGATGCACATTAACACACAAGTATCGAACGATGATCAACATATGCATCATAAATTATCCAAGAAATAGTACTACTTTCTTTCTTTGGCAAATATACAAAGAAACATTTTCATCACAAAGAGAGATATTTTTTTTTTCATAAAAATTCAATGGATGCCGTACAACTCCTCGGAATTAAATAATTTAACTTATGAAAAAATAACTAGACAGCAATTATTAGAGGAAAACTTATAAATATAACACATAACAGTCATGGATTTTTATCAATATTCCTTAAAATATAACAATAAAATAATCGTAAATAAAAGCATTTAATTAAAATGATAAGAATTATTTTAATTGTGATTTTGATTTATTATTTTATTATCACATTTTTCCATTCAAAAACACTAATAATATGGATCCCATTTTCTCAAATAAAATGTTTAAAAGTAAAAGCAAGAGGTCATTTTGGCATTATATACCGAGGTATTTGGATAGATAAAACTGTTGCTATAAAGAAATTCTTGGACTCAAAAGATTTTGATGCATATTTTTGGAATGAGGTATGTACTGTTGCAGTTTTTTTTTTTTCTTTAAATGATTTTTGGGAATTTATTATAATTATTAAAATTATTAGTTAAAATCACATTGCAAGTGCTGTGGCTGCGGATGTATTAATAGGTGTTACGGTATTACAATGGATCCAAAAACCAAAGATTATATGTTAGTGCTACAATATGCAAAGGAGAATTTACATGAATATTTACAAACTAATTATGTCAAGATTACATGGAAAGAAAAGGTTGAAATGTTATATCAAATATCAATTGGGTAAATAGTATACAGTATATTTAAAATAAACCAGTTTGTTAACCAGATAACCATTGAACATAATTTGAGCCAGTATTAAACCTTTCGGTCAGAATTATTTCTTTTTATTCTCAAATCATACTAAATTAGCCAAATATTTAATCCTGGACGTAATTATGTTTTAATGAATTAATCTGTTTTAAATTATGAAGATGTCAATAACCTCCGCGCGGTGATCATAACCGCACCAGCATTAGGGCGGAGTTTCATGACATTTTTAATTCTGCCCAAAATTCTATCCTAATTCTGGTAAGGTGACAATCACCAGCGGATATTTGGCAATACTCTTAAATTATTACACACTCTACATTTATATTAAATTAAAATATTTAAATTTTTTATTTAGAGTTAAAAGAATTCATGACGCAGATTATACACATGGGGACTTGCATAGTGGAAATATACTGCATCAAGAGAATCCTAATAATAAAAATTATCAAATTACAGATTTAGGAAGGGCGCAACCCGAAGATAATCCTAGTAATGAGATATACGGTATAATACTTTCATTATGGAATACTAACAGAGGTAAAAATTTTATCAAAAAAGTGATTTTTTTCATACTGGAATTATATTAATTAAGAATGAATATTGTTCATATATTTCAGATATAGGATTATGTGTAAATGAAACAAAAGTTTATGGAGTTATGCCTTATATAGCACCTGAAGTATTGAGAGGAAAGAAATATACTCAAGCAGCGGATATATACAGTCTTGGTATGTTAATGTATTTTATAGCCACTGGAAAACAACCTTTTTACGATTGGCCACATGATCAAGTTTTAGCAATATGGGTATGCGAAGATCATAGACCCGAAATAAATGAACCAGAGGCACCAAAATGTTATATTGATTTAATGAAGAGATGTTGGGATTTAAATCCAGATAATAGACCAAAAATAAATGAAATAATTGAATTAGCGGGTTATTTAATGATTTTGAACAACAGCAACATAATGAAATTGGAAGGCAATTGAAAGAAGCCGAAGAATATAGAAAAGAAAATCCTTTATCAATTGATGTTATTCAATCAAATACTCATTCACAAGCTATTTATACATCTCGATTACTAGATATTGATAATAATTCAGTAGAAATTATAGACCTAACAGAGTAAGTTATGCTAAATTTTTAATACAATTATTTTATTTAGTTTACTAATTGAATCACATTATTTATGCAGATCTACGGACCAAAAATACGAATGAGTCGAAAAATATTAAATTAAAAAAAAATTGAACCAGGTGTAAAGTTTAATGATGTTCAATTCTTGCCTGCTTTAAAAATTCTGTATATATAATATAAATATTTTCTATGTAATAACCAGTAAATAATCCAATAAATAAAGAATAAATAACATAATTATTAATCTTTAATTATACATTCCAATACACTCAGTATTTTCTTGAACTAAAATTCCAGTAAGTCTGTAACTTGTATAATATGCTTGTGGATGTTTTGTTCTTGTACTACCCTGTAAAAAAAGTTGATCTTTTTTTTATATTCCGTCTTTTTTTCGTAAAAACTCATATTTCCTGAATTAATAACCTTATATTGCGTGTTTGGATCCGCGAAAGACTCATTTTTATGGAGTTTTTACAGAAATAACAGATAAAATTATTATAGGGCATTTTGGAATAAAAAATATACTAATATCAAAGTCGTTGGTTCATATTATAGACACTTGCAGTTTTTATAAAAAAAAATTCTAATTTTTATAACTTGTTCAAACATATAGTATAATATTTTAAAATTTTATTTTTGGAAATCGTTCCAACTAATACAATTAATAGTTACTATTAATATTATTTTTAATTTTTTATAATTAAAAATAATAGATACTGACAGATTATTTTTTATAGTTTATCTCTTGTTATTATATTATATTTACTATATGTTAAAACATAAACTATATATATTATATTTGGATTTCTTGATGGTTCGTTTTATAGGATTAATTTCTTAATAACTTTTCAATAACATGGAATCAATTAGTATTTAAAAATTAGATATGAACAGGGATCTTCCGTTATTTATAACAATACAGTATACGGTACTAAAATTCAAATTTTTATTTTAATTAGAATTGGATAAAAAGAAAAAGAGCGAAATCGAAAAAATTTAGATAGATGAATGTTTTTTTATTGAAGATTTTATTGTAATGCAGCTATTAAATAGATTTCAATTTAAACAAATACGCTAATTAACTTATATAGCTCCGCCCTTCATATGCCGGTTTTTAGAATTAGGGTTAATATTAGAATTAGGATTAGGGTAAAGGGATTATAATTATTAGGATGAATGACAAATAAAAGGTAAAAATTAGAATTTTCTACATATAATAAAATTGTCCCAAGAATAATTAACGTGGAAAATTTCTAACCAAATCATCTAATTTTTACTGTATATCAGATATATAACCCGGCAAAATAATCCGGTTGCGGTATCGTATGACATAAAAAATCAATTGTTTTAAAAATTTATTAAATTTTGATTGTAATAACATGCCCAATAAAAGCTTGAGGAATCTAAATATACTTTGACAGAAATAAGGGATATCTAAAAAAAGGGGGTCAAGTTTATAAATAATTTTTTATTTCACATATATATTATTATATGGATATTGTACGGTGTTGTATTTATATTGGTTACCGTCACTTCATGACGTTGACCAATATAAATACACCGTACAATATCGTAAAATATCTATATTGTCGCACGGCTAAACTATCAATATTCGATATTGTTCGCAAATAAACCAATATTGTACGCAGATAAACTATTGATATCAATAATGAAAATATCGGTCAAATAAATCAGCGTATGATCCTATAGGGCCGTGCGATAATTTTAACTAAATTTCTCTTGGTTTATACCTTTTTAAGTAATTTAACAATAATAATCACCCTTTTCATACAAAAGCAGATCAACAAAAAAAGGCAATACAAGTACAAAATTATCGATGAATCGGAAAAATATGGTCCGAAAAAAAGAAGTAACGATAAACATCGTTGAATAATTTTTTTTTAGGAAAAAAAAAAATACGGTAAAAAAAATTTCTTTTTTAAATAAAATGCAGTAAAAAAAATTTTCTTTTTTTTTTTGTAAGTAAAACGAATTTTAAAAATAAACCAATGGGAACCGAAATTAATAATTTAAATTGTTTGTATTGTAATAAATTTTTTTATGAAGAATTATGGTGTAGAGAATGTGACCCACAAAGATTAATGCAAGGATGGACCAGTGGAAATCCGATTATTGATAAGTGTATAAAAGATACTATGTATAAAGCAGCATTGGATATGTATCTTGAATGGGTACCATTTGATAAATTTACAGATATAGAAAAAATTGGTCAAGGTGGATTTTCCGAAGTATATTCTGCAACATGGCTTACTGTTAGACCATTAATATTTTATTATGGTAAAACTTTTAAGGTCGTTTTGAAAAAGTTAAATGGATCACGGAACATATCAGATAGATATATAACCGAAGTACGTTTTTATACTATACTAATCTATTTACTTTAATGAGTCCTAATAACTAATTCAAAAACTTATTGTAAATATAGCTTTTTTTACATTGGAACTTATATAAACATACTGGTTTACGTTTTTTTGGATTAACAAAAGACCCGGAAACTAATGATTTTATGATGATTATGCAATATGCCGAATATGGAAGTTTGAAACAACATCTTTCAAATAATTTTAATAATATTTTATGGAAAGATAAAGTTGAAATATTATTTTTTATGTCACTTAGGTTGGGCTGTGTACATGATTTAGGATATTTTCATAAAGATTTACATAGTGGAAATGTCCTACAATATAATGAATCTGGGATACGACTTCCTAAGGCTTCTATTTCAGACTTTGGATTATGTGGACCAGCAAACGAACAGAACCCAGATAATAAAGTATATGGAGTATTGCCATATGTTGCTCCAGAAGTCTTGAACAAAGAACCATTTACAACATCTGCCGATGTTTACAGTTTTGGCGTAATTATGGCTGAATTATCCTCCGGAAAACCACCTTTTCACAATAAAAGACATGATTTTAATTTAGCGTTAGCCATATGTGATGGACATAGGCCAGAGTTTGGAAGAGGAACTCCTGAATTTTATAAAAAATTAGCTTATAAATGTATGAATGCTAATCCAAATGAAAGACCAACAACTCAAGAATTATTTGATATAATTAATATTTGGCGTTATTCTATGAGTACTAATAGGTTATATTATGGTCGTGAGTTTGAAAAATTTGATAATATAAAAGAAGTACTTAAAGCAGATTTTGAAAAAGCTAATGAAGAAATACCAAACATTTCAACTTCATTTGAAACGGATCCTGATGCTGTTTATACAAGTAGAGAATTAACATTTGACAATCCTTTACCAAGGCCTGTTAATTCGTCAATTATTACTTCTTATATTAATAATGATAAAAGTAATAAAATTATTTTCTATTTAACTTCTTATTTATTTATTTATTATATAAATTATTAATATTTTATTATTTTTGTTAGTTCGCGGCTCTCAAATGTTGGAATTATCTATAACTCAACAAATTTAAGTGGTAACTATTATAAACTGAACGTAATTTTCTATTTAATAAATGATACTAATAGTATTATTATATTTCTTATTTCTTTAAGATGATAGAATTGATGATAAAAATTAAGTGGAATGATTCAATGAATTGAATATTCAGATTTTATTCTATAATTTTTCTTATTTTTATATTTATTTTATTTTATTTTATTTCTCTTATCTTTATTATTTTAAAAATTTCAATTTAATTGTAACAATGATTATTTTATAATAAATATTTGGCATATGATATTTTATCAAGAACGAATATTATTAACTTTGATAGGGTAAATCGTCTTTATTAAAAAAAAAACACAAGGAATTTACATTTATACATTCGATTATCGTTGCAATGGTTTATACCAAAAAATATCATTATATAAAAATTAGGGTTATTATTATCAGTTATTTATTTGGAGGAAGTATCAGCCAAAAACCGTTATCAACCATCTAATAAACAAGTTATTGTTCGGTCATTAGAAATACTGCGGTGACCAATAGGAATTAATGTTATTTAAAATCCCACATATTTTTAATCGACTGAACAAATAACAGATATTCACGGTTTGTTCACCAAATATTCTATAATCTGAAATTTGTTTTATACTCGAGATTCGAGATAAAAGTAGTTGAGCTTGAAAATATTAAATAAAAAATTATAACTAGGCTGACTTGGAAATTATCGTTGACGAATATTTTTATTAGTTTTGAAAAATAATTAAAATATTTTCGCTTATACCAACTGAAAGTTTATATTATAATTTTATGGGGACCTAAAATGTAATTTGTTTATTAACCATGTAACGAAAACCGACAATATGGTATATGGTAGGTAAATCATGCGAGATCATTGAACCATTCGACTTATGCTGCGGGTGTGTCACCATGCCCAGAATTTCCGGTCTAGTAAACCGATAATATATGATTATCAAATTGATCATTTTTAATCTTTTGTAACGACAAATATGTACGAAATAATAATGTATGGTTATTTGATTTCTTTTAATATACTTAATATACGGAATAATTTTTATAAGAATTAATTAATTATCAATATTTATAATTTAATAGTAAAAACTTAGTGGATTTGTTTACTAGAATTTATTCAATTATTGATTAAGTGATACCGATAGATGAAAGGGCTAGGCGCTTACAAAAATTTCTTCGTATCGTAAATGTATCAATAAAAATGTCAACTAAAAGAATTATTTAATGAAAATATCCTATCTTGCAACGACCAAGAATATATACAGTACATAATTTGAATTTTGTCAATAACAAATATTCCTAAATATAAATGTTTATACAAAGCAATATTGAAAATTAATTAAAATTAATTGTAATAAAATTAAAAATTTGTAATGATTATCTCCTCAATTGTGAATTATAAAAAATTTTTGTAATATAATTGATATAATTGTCATCAATAAAAAATTACGATAATAGATAACAAATAGAACATATTCTTTGTTAAATCCTTTCTTAGTTTATGTTATTGACCTGATTCATAAGACCAGTTATGATCGATCCAGTCAAATTCTGATTGAAGGACCATCTTTTAGAACCAGATTTGACCGGCGTATTTAATTCAGGCGTCTCAGCTGAAATATTCTCAATTATATTTATTATAAAAGGAACTCAAGTTTGAAAAAAAAGCGTTAAACCCTAAAAGATCATTATTGATTTTTATTAAAAAATTTTACAAAAAACCTTTCCTTTTATTTTTTATAGTTTATGCTTAGATAGACCTTGGACTCGAGTACAAAACGAGCCAAGAATTTTTTTGACTCGAAAAGTAACTCGAACAAAATCATAGTGCAGGCCAAAATTAACTGTGATTTCGCACTAGAGTTCACGGTCATTTGATTTTCCTCATTTAACGGTGACGTAACCAGCATTATCGATCACATGCTATTGAGCCATCGAGTTCCGAAAATAAGCAACACATAATTGTGGCCAATTACTATAATGCTGGTCAAGATATTATAATTCTGGCCAATGTTTCTAATTTCGGGATTGCTTACTTTCGAAGTAATATGAAATTAACTAAATTAACTTACATCAAGTTTATATGATATATACATCAAGTTATATATTAATTAGAGTAAATTAAACAGCAATTTAATTTTATTTTATTTGGTTAAAAAAGTGCATGTACTACACTGTGAAATGTGAATGTACCAGAACCTTCGTGAATTTTATTTTCACGTGATATGTCACGTGAGAGAAATTACGTGAAATTTCCAGAAATACAAAATTCGAGCTAAAATATTTTTACCTTGGTAAAAAAGATAATTGTATTATCTAATAAAATGACTAAAAAATTTCATGAGAGAACTAGAAATGTCTAGCAAGAAAACCTCTTGGAAGTATAAATACATCCCGAGTTCGACGTTCTCTCAGGACAACAATTTCATCAAAATAAACAACAAAAAAATCAAAAACCTTCACAAAACATTCAAACAAAACATCAACTACACAAAATGGCACTTTACAATTGGAATTTAGAAAGCGATGTTAACCGTATTTTCGATGATTTCATTAAAGATTTGAACGTAACTAGACGTGGTGGTACTCGTTCTAACCGTGTGAATAATACCTTCGTCCCGTTAATGGACGTTCACGAAACTGATGATGAATTTCTTTTCAATACGGAATTACCAGTATGTATTTAAAACCACTTTTTTTTACAAAATTCTTTACGTCTTTTTAACATTATAATTTTGTAGGGATTGAATAAAGATCAAATTAACGTTGATGTTCGAGACAACACTCTTACAATTTCTGGTGAAACCAAAAAAGATAAAAAGTATGAAAAAGGAAGTACCCATATTCAAGAACGTTCCTATGGTTCCTTCTCCCGTAGTATCTCATTACCTCCGAATGTAAAAGCAGATGATATTACGGCCAAATTTGAGAATGGTCTTCTTGAATTGAAACTTCCCAAGACTGCTCCCTCCGGAAAGAAGATCACCATACAATAAATTTTTTAGTAATTTAGTATAACTTTTTAATAAGTGCGTTACTTATATTCTTCATATATTTACATTTTTTTTTAACGTAAAAAAAATTTCATTTCATAAATATATATGTATAATTTTGTAAAATCATTCATTCATTCATTTTTTTTTTCTTAAATAAAGACATTTTTGATATATTTTTTTTAACTCAAAAGGTGTGCCCTTTAAATTGTTTTAAAAATTTAAGGCCTTTAGTTCGTGTGTCTTATTGATCAGCTGATCCGCTGAGCACAAGCGTTCCCATAATTAATTTTAGCGAATAAAACTTGAACCTTACCAATAAAATTAACTCAAAAAAAGTATTCAAAGATAATTTAACAATAATAATAATTTATTTATTTAATATAAAAATTTTTAAAATATTCGATAAAAAAAAAAAAAAACTCCATTATTTCCATTAAAAAATAATTTCATTTAAATCCATTCAAAATCTTTACCGTATAAACAATTTTTGTATTTTTTAATTATTCCCACCTCTTTATATTTTTCTACCAAATCTTTTGTATCTTTCATTCGACCTACTTGTAATAACATAGGAAATCTATTTTTCCAATTATCAAGAAATAATTTTAAGGAATCTAATTTTGGAGGTATATAAGAATAAATTTTAAATTTAAATAAACTAATAGGAGAAGATTTAGTTAATATTTCAAATAATTTATCCCAATCAAATGCATCTGCTGTACTACCAATAATAAACAAACCTTCTAAATATTTACAATTAATTAATAAATTTTCTAATTCAATAATATTACTATTTCTAAATAATAATTTAAGATATTTAAGATTTGGACAATTTTGATAAATAACTTGAATAATTTTTTTATTACTAATATTATCATGACTTACATATTCAATTATTATTTCAGTAAGATGTCCATTAGTATTTTCAATTAGATTTGTTAAAGTATTTATTGGTACACGACTCGCAGTTAAAATTTTTAAACGATGTAAAGATAAATTCTCTAAATAATTTCCAGTCAAGATTCTATAATAATCATTATCCAATTCCAATGTTTTCAAATTTACTAAAGATATTCCAGCCATAACCTTATCATTTATACTAGTATTACAACGTAAAAATTCAATTTCTGAAAAGCAACGTTTAATTCCAGGAATAAGATTTATTTGATAATCAAATTTATTAGGTATATAAAGATGAGTAATTTTCATATTCTCATTAATTAATAAATTAAATATTTCTTTTTGAATAAGTGATATTTTTGATTTTTTATAACTTCTATAATTATTAAAAATCATCCTTTGAATTACTTCTAAATTCAAATGTCTACAAAAACTTATATAATTAAATAAAGGTTTTTGATGACGATATGATTTTTTTAATAATTTACGTTTTTTTAATATATTTCTTGAATCTTCTGATAATTGTGAAATTAATACATTTATTAATGATTTTTCTTTATCTCTCTTTAAACATTTCCAAGGATCTCTCCATAAAATTGGAATACTTGTTTCACACCATGTTTTATTAACAAAAATACATGAACGAAGAAGAATCTTTTCATTATCTTGAAGTTCTTCAAATATCAAATAAAGAATATCCTTGTTTAACATTTTTATTTTTTTTTTTATTTAAAAAAATTTTTTTTTTGTGAAAGTGTGCAATAATGATCATCACGATTGGTAATACGTAATATATCGTATTTATATTTGTTGCAATGTTGTACAAAAATGTTGTACGTATTTAATTTTGTTACGCTTTTACGTAATTGAAGTTCATGTCGATGATGTAGATCATCAACCACATGAGCAAACTGTTATTTATATTTTGTGGTACATAACAAGTGGATGTATAGACTGTCTCTTATACACATCTAGATGTGTATAAGAGACAGATTCATGTCTCTTGGTTAATAAAACTTGGTGTGAAATAATTGTTCCAATTTTATGGAAAAATCCTTGGAAATGTCAAAAGGAGGAATTATTATTAAATGTAATAATGTTACATTTATCAGATGAATCAAGAAATAATTTAAGAAATAATGATTTTAATTTTTTAACAAATTCATATCAAAAATATCAAAAACCTTTTTTTGATTATATTAGTTTTTGTAGACATTTACATTTAAATGCAATAAAAAGGATGATTAATAATAATAATAATAATTATGAAAATTCAAAAAAATCAATGGTTATTCAATATGAAATATTCAACCTTTTTATTAATAAAAATACGAAATTTACTCATCTTTATATACCTAAACAATTTGATTGTCTAATACATCTTATTCCTGGAGCTGATCAATGTTTTTCAGAACTTGAATATCTTTTTTGTCAAACTAGTATAAATGAGAATATTTTGATTGGATTAACGGATATTTGCAGATCAATTAAAGCAGTCAAACTTTTTGTTGATAATAATTATATAATAAAAGTTCTTTCATTTTTTGTAAATATAAAAAGTTTGGAATTACTTAATTATCGTATGACATCAGATCATATAGAAAATTTACCTTTACCTTCTTTACAAGTTTTAAAAGCAAAAGGTATTCCAATTAATGTATTAGAAAGATTAATTGAAAATACAAGTGGATTATTAACTGAAATAAGAATTGATGGTATAAGTCATAATGAGATTAATAATAAAAGAATTATTCAAGCTATATATCAATATTGTCCAAATCTTAAATATCTTAAAATAGTTTTTAGATATAGTAATATTTTAGAATTAAAAAATTTATTAATTAATTGTAATTTTTTATGTGGATTATTTATTCTTATTAATAATATGGAAGATGTATTTGATATAGATTATCTTTTCGAAATATTAGCTAAATCTTCACCAATTAATTTATTTAAATTTAAATTTAAATTTAGGTATAGACCAGTTAAATTAGAATCTTTGAAATCATTTTTTGATAATTGGAAAGGTAGGCATCCAATGTATTTACATTTCATCAAAAAATTAGAAAATAATATAGATGATTTGATAGATTTAATAGAAGAATATAAAACAATTGGTATAATCAAAAAATTTAATAATGGATTGGATTGTAAAGATTTTGAATGGATTTAGTCATATGTATAAAATTTTTGTAATATTACTAATTATACTTAAAATTATCGTTAAATAGGACGTATTTAAATAACGAATTTTGTATTCATTTTCTAAAATTAGTATTTGGCGAATATTACGAGTTTGTAATTAATCCTAGATGTTTTATTTTCTTACAGCTTTATTTTTATATTGAAAAAATTATACTAGTGTCTTTTTTACTTAATTGATGTTGGTTTATATAATGAAATTTAATACTTTTGTTTTATATAGCATTAAAAATTTCTAATATTGTAATTGTTACACTATCCCATTATATTAAATAATACAAATATTATCCAATTTATTTATACCAATAATATCGCGACGTGTGAAATGTTTACCGGTTTAAAATTAATTTGTAAATGTTTTAACCCTAAAGAAATATATAAAGGTCTTGTTGAGTAAATAAATAATTACTGTATCATTAAAGGATAAAAAGTAAAATAAAATCTATCATAATAATATTATTTATTGCCATTATACTTACTCAACAAACGATAATTCGATCCTTTTATACTTGAAAATTTATGCTGCCATTATTACTATTTTCTGAGTAAATCTAAAAAAATTTAATGGATTTTATGGTAAGGATGATAAATTACCATAATTTATAAATAATATTATTATATTGTTACATTACTGTAATTTTCTAAGTTATGTTACACTATTTTATTGTAATATTCAATTTTATATAATTAAAGTTTAAGCTCAAATATGAGTTTAATTTATATATAGATGATGACAATAAAATTTGGTGTATATGTTTTGTAATTTTAAAATCATATAAATGTAATGTATACATTAGATCTATGTTACTTACAGTATAAGTTTAACGAAAGCATCCCTATTTGTACGGTCCCGTGATACTCTTCAGGGCCAGAATTACATGATAGATAGGATAATACTGCCTGGACTTATATCAGATAACGTTCACTCCTCTTCTAGAAATAAAATAAATAAAATACTACCTGGACTTATTTCAAAAAAGGAATGATTTTACAGATTTCTATCTTACAACCTGTCAAATCGACAAATGACAAATGACACGTCATTTCACTTATCAAATGACAAATGATCTATGTCATATGTCATTTGAGAACTTAATATGTAATAAGATGTCAACCAATCAAAATCAAATGCTTGAAATGACTAATAATTTATAAATAATGACAAGTGTTTAAGCAAACCACTAGCAAACCCTTTACTGTAAATAGTTCAATGCCGAACACTGGTTCTTCAATATAATTTAATAATTAATTGTTGCTTGTGGAAAATAATTTTTCTTTCTTAAAAAAATGTCCAATCTCAGTAGAGATGTTCTTTATATGTTATTCGAACTGCTGCAAGATGATAAAAATACTCTTTATTCATGCCTTTTAGTTAATAGAACTTGGTGTGAAATAATTATTCCAATTTTATGGAGAAACCCTTGGAAATTCTCAAAAAAGAAAGATAGATTATCAAGTGTAATCATTTTACACTTATCGAACGTATCAAGAAATAAAATAGGAAATCATAATTTATTGACAAATTCTTATCAAAAACCTTCACTTAATTATATTAAATATTGTAAACATTTAGATTTAAATGAAATACATAAAATGTTCTGTAAAGAATCTTTTATAAAAATTCTAAATGAGATATTAAGTCTCTTTATTAACAAAAATATGAAATTTACTCACCTTTATATACATCAAAAATTTGGCAAAATAAACCTTATTCATGGAGCTGAAAGTTGCTTTTCAAGAATTGAATTCCTTAGTTTCAGTTCTGATATAAATGATACCATCTTATCTAAATTAATAGAAACATGTAAATCAATTAAAAAATTAGAGCTTATTATTAGGGCAAATAATCATAATTATAGAGTTGTTAAATTGATCGAAGCTCAAAAGAAATTATTTAATGTTTGCTTAGTTCCTTTACGCAACAATGATCCATTTCGTAATATTCTTGAAAATTCGTTGGTCAAACATGCAAATACCATACAATATTTTAAGATAACAGAACGACCTACTACAAATATTCTCTCTTCTTTTGTAAATTTAAAAGGATTAGAAATAGATAGTGATTACTATTTCAATAGTGAATGGAAATGTTTGAAGAATTTATCTTTATTTTCCTTACAAATTTTAAAAACTAGTCGAGTTCCAATTAATCCTTTAACAGATTTAATTAAAAACACAAACGGATTTCTTTTTGAAATAATTATTGACGATATACACCACAATGAAGTTGATAATAAAAGAATCATTCAGGCCATTTCTCAAAATTGTTCCAATCTTAAATATCTTAAACTATTTGTTAGGAGTAATAACATTGTAGAATTTGAAACATTGTTAATTAATTGTCAGTATTTAAAAGGAGTATATATCCTTCTTAGTGATAATTATTTTAAATGGGGAAAGTTATTCAAAATATTAACTAAATCATCATCAACTAGTTTGTTTAGATTCAAATTTAATTTACTGCCTAGAATAAAATCCTTAAAATGGTTTTTTGATAATTGGAAAGGTAGACATCCTATGTTTTTACAATTCATCAAGGAATTAGAATATATGGAAGAAGACTTGATAGGATTAGTAGAAAAATATAAGGTAGAAGGAGTAGTTAAAAAATTTGATATTGGATGTTATTACCAGGATTTTGAATGGATCTAAATTAATTATATTAGGCCATACATATAAGATTTTTGTGTCATCACAGCATTTTTTCATAATTATACTCTACATTTTTAATATTTTTTAAATAGGACACTTTTAAATAACGAATTTTGTAATTCTGGTGATCTTACTGGCTGGTTCATTTTTTTCTTTATTTGACTCGGAAATATATTGGCTTAATCCTAGATGTTCTATTTTATTTGTAATAATATAGCATAGAACTACTATTGAAGTAATAAAAAGGTAGTCTTAATTTCCTTAACTTTTGAGAATGGTCTTAAAATGTTTGTAATAATGGAATCAGTCATTATAGTCTTTTGGAGAAAAGTCAGCCAGAAAAGTTCTTTAGGAAATTTATCCATCATGAATATTAGATACTAAATCGAAAGATTAAATTTTGTCATTATTATTATTTTTTTTTTGTTGATTTATATTTAGAGCTTGAACTCGAGTCAGCATGAGTCAACTCGAGTAAATGAGTCAAGAATTTTTTTGACTCGAAGAGTACTTGAGTCCAGGACTCAAGTTAGGACTCAAGTTAACTTGAGTTAATTAGTTAATTTGAGTCAAAGTTAAAGTGCGGGCCAAAAAACTGATTCATAATTTTACCCAGACCATTATAGTCATAGTGCCGGCAGGAATTACAAATAGGTTCAGCCGGCACTATGAACCACGTGATCCCGGTTGACTCGAGTCAAGAAATTTCTGACTCAAGTGCGAATTCGACTCAAGTCAGCTCGAGTTACATGAGTGCGAGTCCAAGCTCTAATTTATAAACATATTCAAAAAAAAAAAAAAAATAATAATTATTTTTTTATGCCACTCAATACATATGAAATATGAAAGAGAAATTTATAATAATATCGAAGGGAATTTTGGATTTACTTATTATGCATAATTTTAGTTATGTTTACTAGAACTTAATTTTTCTAGAATTTCTTCTAAAAGACTTTTTTTTTAATATATTATAATTTGATAAATATGTATGAAATAATGTGTAGATTGTACAGGTTACGGTACATTTCTTCAAAAGTCATTTCATCGAAAGGACGTTTTGACGAAAAATAGGGCTAACATTTTGCAGAATTATAAATAACCCAGGCCAGAGATTATTTTTTGGAGAAATGGCTTTCGGTGAAATGTCCCAATTAGGGATGGCAACGGTCACGGTCATTAACCGATTATGACTGGTCATGACTGTGACCGATATCGGTCGGTTAAGACTTCTGTCTGACTGTTTGACCGACCATTTGACCGACCATTTGACCGATGAATTTTTAATTGTTTTAATAGAAAATGTTGCGAAAACGTTTTTTATTAATAATTTAATAAAAAAAAATGTTTTTCGCAAACATTTTAATTATTTTAACAAAAAATGTTGCGAAAACGTTTTTTATTAGTAATTTAATTAAAAAAATGTTTTCGCAACGTTTTTTAATTATTTTAACAAAAAACATTGCGAAAATGTTATCGATCAAACGTTCAGTCAAATGGTCAGTCAGGTGGTCAGTCAAACGGTCAGCCATAGCGGTTGGTCAGAACGGTCGGTCAGTCAAAGGTTCTTGACTGGTTATGACCGACCGATGGCCGACCATGACCGACCATTGCCATCCCTAGTCCCGATACAATACATATATGGGTCAGGTTTGAGTTTGTGTATTTTGAACTAAAAAAATCATGAAAATCTTTCCTTTTTTAGATAATTTTTGATAATGCCAGTCAGAATTTTATTTCCTATGATTTGACACTGAAAAAATACATACAGCTCATAGTAAAAAATTTTTTTCATCACCTGACCCCTATATATATATTTCTGGGTCCTTCCGAACAATATACATTTTTTTAGGACCCCGGATATCTAATATAAAGGTCATAATGGACTTTTGGCCAAAAACACCCCTTTTTGCTGAAACTCAAAAAATCGTTTTTTGTAAATATCTCAGCATCCAGTAATTCAATTTTAATGAACTTTTTTTTATTTTGTAGCCCTCATTTAGCTCTACAATTTAAAAAAAAGTTCATCAAAATTGGACCACTGGATGCCGAGATATTTACAAAAAACGATTTTTTGAGCCCCTGAAAAATGGGCCAATCTGCCGAAAGTGTGACTTATGACCTGTTTTGGAGATATCCGGGGTCCTATTTTTTTTATTTGATTAAGAAATAAATTATACAAAAAGATAAAAAAAATAAATTCTTTTATAAATTGTTGAAATAAATGTATTGAATGATGAAATAGAAATTGGTTTTTTGCATTATTACATAAATTTAATCAGACCAGATTTTAAAATATTAAAACTTGGTATAAATTGAGATAAAAAAAAAGCAAAATATAAATATTCCTTACTTTCCAGTATATAGAATAAATATAAAATTATGAATACTATGAAATGTGAATAAATACTTACCTTAAGAATGTATGATTTTTTTCTTTGATATTTAACTAAGCATGTTTGTTTATTATTAGTTATTGTTAAAAAACTAGGTGCTAATATTATATATATTGTAATACAGTATTTAAATACTTAAATAAGATATAAAAATTTAAAAAATTAGAATTTTGAGTTTTATGTTGGATATGACCATAATAATATATTCAAATGATCTTTTTTATAGGGACTACAAAAATTGTCTATTTATTTAAGAAATATAAAAAATAAGTATTTAATAATTTCATAAAAATGTATGATATTATAATTTAGTAGCCAATAATTATAAATTATTTGTTGTATTTTCAGAAAACTAAGAATTTAAAAGCTATATAGAAATCTGAATCCATAATCATAAGTTCACTATTATTAAAATAATTTATCATAGCCTAAACCTCTCTATAATCCTACAATTAATTTTGCCAAACTTTTACTATAGTTTTATTATAGTTTTGGCAAAGTTTCAGCAGTTTCAGCATTTATAATAGGTTTTATCAAGTTTTGCAACTTTTAATAAGACTTTAATATAGTTTTGGCAAAGTTTTTTCTATTTCAGTATTTCACCAACTTTCCAAAATCACTTAGTTTCTCCATTTCTCCAGTAACCTTAAATTATCAATCTCAATTATAAAAGGGATCAAAGAAGTAATAATCTAAGTTGTTTCAGAAAGGCTAGAACTGTGCAACTTCAATATTTTAGGTATTCAGCAGTTGCTATTATAATTTATGAGAAATATTAATTATGTATCCACAGAAATAGTTATTTCTTTATATTTAGTCAATCATGTAATTATAGTTATAATCAATCAATATTACATTTAGTTTAGACTAGTTACCTTTCATTATGAGTTACTATTGTTAGTTATTAGAATTTCAGATAAATATTTAATTGATGGATAAATATTTAGCTGATAAAAAAAGTGGACATGTTAGAAATTGTTGGATAGCAGTCAATTTATAATGAGAGTAATATTTACTTTACAATATACAGTGGGGAGATTGATAATCAGTTATTATATAGAATATGAGTTATAATGATTCATAATTAATTATTACAATTATTACATCATAAAGAGACAGTTAGAAAAAATTTTTTTTATTACTTTTAGTTAGGATATTTTTATAGGATAGTAGGATAGTTTATTGGTTAATGTAACTTCAAAATGTATAAATACAATTTTTTTTTTGACATTTGTTCCTTACTGATCATTTTTTTCGTGTAAAACAAGTGGAGATAATATTTTTCTTTTAGGTGAGTAACCTTATAAGCGAAATATTATTCTATATACGCGAAAATAATATTTCTTTTACATGGAATGAGAAAGGCTTTTTTTTATTAAATCAATTGTAGAAGAGTTTAATAAATTATACAATAATTATTTACTATACATTAGTGCTTCGATCCGGATGAAATCCATCATCCGGATTTTATAACAATTTAATCCAGATGAAAACTGTTATTAAACGAAAATTCAAATAAAAAAAATTATTTTAAAAAATCCAGTCCTACCATTAAATGTGCTATGTCAAGCACTATCAAACATGCCTTAAATTGTTAAATTCTGATCATTGGTTTCGGAAATATTTTAAGTTATCCGAAAACTGACAATCCGGATAGATCCGACGAAATCTGATTCAAACCGCGGATTTCATCCGGATTTTTGATTTAATCCGGATCAATCTGGATCAATCCGTACACGGATCGAAGCACTACTATACATACGCCGCAGCAGTAGTATTTTACAAATCAAATTTCTGAGTAGATTATTTCACATGACATACTATACTTTTTTGGTTGACCTGACAGTCCTGACACCACTCCTTTTCATATTATTCCTGTATAATATGTCATGATATTCAGTTTTCTTAGTATTCAAAAAATTCTTTACAAATAGTAGTGTTTTACAGTTCATAGGTTTGCATACTGAACTTAGTTAGGTATGTAGATATATTATAAAATGAATTACTTGTAAGAGTATCTGGTAAAAACTATATTTCTTTGTCAAGTATTATAATATTAAAGCCTTTTAATTCAAATAATATTTAATAATTGATAAGTTACAAAAAGAAGATTTATTTAAATTACAAACTAAGAAATTTATAAAATATTTACTACTCTAGTCCTAGTGTTTAAATAATTCTAAGTAAAATAAAAAATATAATATAAATATCTAATACTATAAAAAAAGGAATTACTTAAATTACAAACTAAGAAATATTGTAAATATATTTTACTACTCTAGCCTTAGTGTTTAAATAAATCTGAAAAGAATAAAATAAAAGACAACTTCTGTTGAATACATCATGTCAAATATCATTTAATTAGTTAATTTCATCTGTTTTAATATACAAATAAAATTAATTTCACATAATTAATTTGTAAATTAATTTTTCTTTATATACTAAATATTACATACCTAATTGTTCATATCTTCGACTATACAATCATTCAAATCTTCAGTTATACCAGTAGATGAATAACTTTGTGAATCTCCACTTTCAAGAATTTCATTCAATTTTTCACTAGTAAAATTAAGCAAGCGACTTGTATAACATGCTTGTGGATGAGATTCAGTAGTAAGATTGTTACGCCCAATTTGTGCATTTATAAATTCCATTTTGTTATTTTCAAATTCTTCATTAATTCCACTACCAATTGGCTGAAAAATCCAATTTCCAATAATATATTTCACTTCTGATGCAGTTGGCCTTTTTAATGGATCTTCATTCCAACATTTTTTCATTAACTCCATATAACAATTTGGATTATTTTCAATAATTTTAGGACGTTCGCCTCTGCAAATACTTAAACTAAGTTGAAGGTCATGTGTTCTATCATTAAATGGTGGAACACCAGATGTAAATTCCCACATAATCATAGAAAAACTATATATATCACTAGCTGGAGTATAAGATTTGCCTCTCAAAACTTCAGGTGCCATAAATGGTATAACTCCATAAACTTCACCTTTTTTTAAAGATGATTTTACAGGTTGACATAATCCTAAATCACTAACAAAAACTAAATTATTATCAGCTTCGTTTTCTTCCTCCTCTTCATCATTTTTATTGCTGTGATTTAGAATATTGCCATCATGTAAATCACAGTGAATAAGATCTTGTTCATGTATTTCATAAAGCCCAGAAATAATTTTGTACAACATATTTAACTTTTGTTTCCAATTACATTTAATTACTTTAGTTAAATTTCCTCTTAAATTACCTTTATTTGCATAATCCATTACTACCATATAATTTAAAGTGTCTGAACTTTTTGTAAATCCATATAAATTAATAATATCATATGAATTTGAACAACTTTGATGACATTTCCACTATAAAAATAAAATAAAAAAATATGTAATTAGTACAAATAAATAAATTAAATTAAATCAAATTAATATTGGTTATCATACTTCATTTAAAAATTCATCTAAATTTTCGTTCAAATTATTGAGATGTTTAAGGACTACTTCTCTATTTTGATTTGTATATAACCAAATAGCTTTATATATAGTACTAAACCCTCCTTTATCAAGATATACAACATTTGTAAATTTATCATAGGGAATCCATTTTAATCTTCTTTCAGAAATAAATTTATCTAAAATTGTATTTCCACTTTTTCCAAATCTATAATATAAATAATTAAAAATTATTAATAAATTATCTTAAACTCTAAAATCAAAAAACAATTTAATACTTACTCTAAATTTTAATTAGAAATACAATAAATAAAAAATCTTAGTAATTATATAAATATATATAAAAGCTTATAATTTATAACTCACCAACTAAAGCATCCAATATTTTTTTAAAAAAATATTTAGTTATTAAAACTATAAGTCAATGCTACATAAATGTAATAATAAAAAAATAACTTACAAGAATCTAAAGTAAATTCCAATTTTTTAAATAAAGAATTCAATTAATTAAATATTACATAAATGTTATAATAAAATAGCTTACAAGAAACTAAAGTAAATAAAATTTCAAATAAAGAATTTAGTTAGTTAGTTCAAGTCATATATAAACGTTATAAATATGCAATAATAAAGTTAAATAAATAACTTACAATCTAAAATAAATCGCCAAAATAAAGAGTTTAGTTACTAGTTAGTTTAATTATATGCAAATATTATACTAATATATGACAATAAAATTAAATAAATAATTTACCACCTATATTTTAAACAATATTTTAGATAAAGAATTTAGTTAATTTAAATTATACGCAATTATTCAAATAGAATTAAAAAATGACTTACTTGCTATATTATGAATAATTTTTTAAATAAAGAATTTAGTTAGTTTATATTATATGCAAATATTACAATTATGTAATAATAAAATTAAAAATAACTTATAACTTACCATCTAAAAGAAATTACAAAATAATTTTTTTAATAAAGAATTTAGTTAGTTTAAATTATATACAATTATGCAATAATAAAATTAAAAATATCTTATAACTTACAAACTAAATGAAATTACAAAATATTTTTTTTAAATAAAGAATTTAGTTAATTTAAATTATATGCAGGTATTATACAATCATGCAATAATATAATTAAAAAATATCTTATAACTCACGAACTAAATGAAATTACAAAAGAATTTTTTAAATGAAGAATTTAGTTAATTTAAATTATATAACAAAAATTATATAATTATGTAATAATAGAAGAATTAAAAATAACTTACTTGCTATATTATGAAATAAGTTTTGGTTTTGATAAAGAATTCAGTTAGTTTAAATTATATGAAATATTATATGATTAGTACTTAATAATAGTAAATCAACAAATTCTTATAACTTACAACCTAAAAGAAATTAAAATAATTTTTTTATATGAAGAATTTAGTTAATTTGAATTATAAGCAAATATTGCAATTATGTAATAATAGAATTAAAAATAACTTGTAACTTACCAACTAATAAAAGAAATTACAAAATATTTTTTTAAATAAAATTTTAGTTAATTTGCAACTATCTAATAATAGAATTAAATTTAACTTATAACTTACTAACTAAAAAAAATTACAAAATAATTTAATTAGCATTATGTGCTATTACAACTACTATGAATAATAGAATAAAAAATAACTTATAACTTACTAACTAAAAAAATTAAAAATAATTTTTTTAATAAAGAATTTACTTAGTTTAAATTATATGCAAATATTATACAATTAGTATGCAGAATTAAAAATAACTTACATGCTATATTATGAATAAGTTTTGATAAAGATTAGTTAATTAGAATTATATACAAATATTATACAATTATGTAATAACAGAATTAAAAAATAACTTACATGCTACATTATGAAATAAGTTTTGGTTTTGATAAATAATTTAGTTAGTTTAAATTATATGCAAATACTATATGATTATTTGATAATAGTAAATCAAAAAATATTTATAACTTACTACCTAAAAGAAATTAAATAATTTTTTTATAAGAATTTAGTAAATTTTAATTATATGCAAATATTACAATTATGTAATAATAGAATGAATATAACTTATGACTTACCAACTAAAAGAAATTACAAATTAATTTTTTTAAATAAAAATTTAGTTAATTTGAATTATTATATGCTACTACAGTTATGTAATAATAGAATTAAATATATATAATTTATAACTTACCAACTATAAGAAATTACAAAATAATTTTTTTAATAAAGAATTTAGTTGTTTAAATTATATGCAAATATTATACAATTATGTAATAATAGAATGAATATAACTTATAACTTACCAACTAAAAGAAATTACAAAATAATTTTTTTAAATAAATTATTATATGCTATTACAGTTATGTAATAATAGAATTAAAAATAACTTACTTGCTATATTATAATAAGTTTTGATAAAGAATTTAGTTAGTTTAAATTACATGCAAATATTATACAATTAGAATTAAAAATAACTTACTTGCTATATTATAATAAGTTTTGATAAAGAATTTAGTTAGTTTAAATTATATGCAAATATTATATGATTATTTAATAATAGCAAATCAAAAAATACTTATTACTTACAACCTAAATGAAATTAAAATAATTTTATTTAGTTAATTTAAATTATATGCAAATATTATACAATTATGTAGTAATAGAATTAATAATAACTTACGTGCTATATTATGAATAAGTTTTGTTAAAGAATTTAATTAGTTTAAATTATATGCAAATATTATACAATTAGTACATAATAATAGAATTAAATATAACTTATAACTTACGAACTAAAAGTAATTACAAATAATTTTTTATAAAGAATTTAGTTAGTTTAAATTATATGAAATATTACACAATTATCATGTAATAATATAATTAAAAAATAACTTACGTGCTAAATTATGAAATAAGTTTTGATGAATAATTTAGTTAGTTTAAATTATATGCAAATATTATACAATTATGCAGTAATTAAATTAAAAATATCTTATAACTTACGAACTAGATGAAATTACAAAATAATTTTTTAAATAAAGAATTTAGTTAGTTTGAATTTTATGCAAATATTATACAATTATTAATAATATAATTAAAAATAACTTACATGCTATATTATGAAATAAGTTTTGATGAAGAATTTAGTTAGTTTAAATTTATGCAAATATTGTACAATTATGTAATAATAAAATTAAAAATAACAACTCACCATCTAAAAGAAATTACAAACCATTTTTTTAACAAAATTTCGGTTAGTTTAAATTATATACAAATATTATACAATTATGTAATAATAGAATTAAATATAACTTATAACTTACTAACTAAAAGAAAATACAAAATAATTTTTTAATAAAGAATTTAGTTAAATTATATGCAAATATGTAATAACAGAATCAAAAAATAACTTACTTGCTATATTATGAAATAGTTTTGATAAAGAATTTAGTTAATTTAAATTATATGCAAATATCATACAATTTTATAATAATAAAATTAAAAAATAACTTATAACTTACCCACTAAAAGAAATTACAAAATAATTTTTTTAATAAAGAATTTGATTAGTTTAAATTATTTCAAATATTATATGATTATTTAATAATAATAAATCAAAAAAATACTTATAACTTACCACCTAAAAGAAATTAAAATAATTTTATTTAGTTAGTTTAAATTATATACAATCATATAAAAATAGAATCAAAATAATACTTATAACTTACCACCTGCTATAAAAAATTATAGAATAATTTTTTTAAATAAAAAATTTAGTTAATTTAAATTATATGCAAATATTACAATTGTGTAATAATAGAATTAAATATAACTTATAACTTACCAACTAAAAGAAATTATAAAATAATTTTTTAAATAAAAAATTTAGTTAATTAATAAATTATATGCAAATATTATACAATTATGTAATAATAGAATTAAATAATATCTTATAACTTACCAACTAAAAGAAATAACAAAATAATTTTTTAATAAAGACTTAGTTAGTTTAAATTATATGCAAACATTATACAATTATGTAATAATTGAATCAAAAATAACTTACGTGCTATATTATAAAATAAATTTTAATAAAGAATTTAGTTAATTTAAATTATATGCAAATATTATACAATTATGTAATTAAAAAATAACTTACATGCTATATTATAAAATAAGTTTTGATAGAGAATTTTAGTTTAAATTATATGCAAATATAATATGATTATTTAATAATAATAAATCAAAAAATACTAATAACTTACAACCTAAAAGAAATTAAAATAATTTTATTTAGTCAGTTTAAATTATGTACAATTATGTAATGGAATTAAAAAATATCTTATAACTTACGAACTAAATGAAATAATAAATATAAATAAAGAATTTAGTTAGTTTAAATTATATATGATTATTTAATAATAGTAAATCAAAAATACTTATAACTTACAACCTAAAAGAGAATAAAATAATTTTTTTAAATAAAGGATTTAGTTAATTTGAATTATATGTAAATATTACAATTATGAAATGATAGAATTAAAAATAACTTATAACTTGCCGACTAAAGAAATTACAAAATAATTTTATTTAGTTAGTTTAAATTATGTACAATTATGCAATAGTAGAATTAAAAAATATTTTGTACTTACAAACTAAATGAAATTACAAAATAATTTTTTAAACAAATAAAGTATTTAGTTAGTTTAAATTATTTGCAAATATTATACAATTATGTACTAATAATATAATTAAAAAATAACTTACATGCTATATTATGAAATTAGTTTTGATAAAGAATTTAGTTAGTTTAAATTATATGCAAAATAATATACAATTATGTAATAATATAATTAAAAAATAACTTGCATGCTATATTATGAAACAATTTTTAAATAAAGAATTTAGTTAGTTTAAATTACATGCAAATATTGTACAACTATGTAATAATAGAATTAAAAAAATAATTTACATGCTATAACATAAAATAATTTTTTAAATAAAGAATTTAGTTAGTTTAAATTATATGCAAACATTACAACTAAGTAATAATAGAATTAAAAATAATTTATAACTTACCAACTAAAAGAAATTAAAATAATTTTAATTTGTTAGTTTAAATTATACACAATTATGTAGTAATAGAATTATAAATAACTCATAACTTA